AGCAGGAGTGAAAGGGTAGGATTTCCAGGACCATTTCCCAAGTTTTGCTTACCGTAACAACTCTCTTCTTGACTTCTGGAATACACTGGGCTCTTTCATACAGATTCTGATCAGAGTCAATCCAGACTAGATTTTTTATGCCATCACTAGAGACAAGGTCTGTTGTATTTAACTGGAACACCATGAACTGGAAGAGCTGGCCATCCGTGCCAACGCTTTGCACCACTATTGGCTGCTCCAAAACCTTGGGATCATTCTAGGAAAGAAGGCGGGGGGGGAGAATGTTTAAAAAGCCAGTTACCACAGAAATTGTATGAGTACTTGCTGATTCTGCATCTTCTACTTGGTTCAAAGCCAAGACTTTAATAAATGTATTGTTACCTTGCCCAGAAAATTACTCTAGTCAAACAAGTTTTGAATGTAGATTTTGTATTTTAATTAAAATTCCTCCTTCAGCCAGCAATGAAGTATCAATTTACATACTGAGCTGTGGGATGCGTTAGAGTTTTACAGTTGAACCTACTCCCTGGTTCCTACCCATTACCACTCTAATGCATGTTACACCACGAACACGCTCATCGCTGAGAGATCTTTGTCTGGATTAGCAGAACCATACCTGAAGGTTAGAGTTAGAACTCTGGACTGGGAAGCTCAGATTTGAAAACTACTGTAACATGCCACAGCAAGGGAATGTCATGACTCTTTCCACTAGCTGCAGCTTTAGAGAAAGAACAAAGGCCCAGCGAGTCAGCAGCAGTCTCCAATACGTACCCCGTACAGCACCTTAGCCTTTGCCAGTGCATTGCCAAAAGCAAACATCATCATTTTAGCACGAAGTTGTTCTGGTCTGAACCTGTTAGGACGAATGTTGGCCGATTCCAGGAAGAACAGAGTGTGAGGATGAGAATACGGATAACCATCTCTAAAACCTAAATGGCAGATAATCATGTCAGGAATTGCTCAGTAAGAGACGACACAGCCAATGTTTTCTCTCCTATCTTCAGGAACTGTTAATTTGCCAGGACTTAAATTCTTCTCTGCAGTACTGCTTAGGCTACAATATATTCGTCACAGGTCTGGAGCCCTTGCACTGCACACCCTGTGCCCAGCTACTGTGTCCCCTCATTCCCATTCACCCTCTACCCACAGCTGTCTCACAGAAGGGCAAGGACTCCAGGTTAACCCGAACACTTAGTCTGACAGAAAACTATTATCAGTGACTAGATTTACCTGTATCGTTGAGCTCTTTGTACACATTCACTTCCTGAAGATCAATTGTAGGAGAGATAGGATAGAAGGTCTCCAGAACATGTTCTTCAGTGGCCAGTATCTCCTCCTTGGAGGCTACTGGCGGTATTGGGGCCACAGAGTTCATAAGTATTCCATTCAGGCCACGGACCTGAAGGAGAATGGATTCTGGGGAGAGAAATTAGGCTACGTTCAAACATTGCTGAAATAACATTATGGAAAGATGTACATTTCCTTTTGTATGGATGTACATTTTGCAGCAGCATTTTAGTAAGTCCTTGATCTGCAAGGCTCACTCTCTCCCTCTCACCTCCAAACTAAACTTACATAGTAGCTCAGCTGTAGGTTCTTCTAAAATACTAACTGGTGGTGTTAAGTTTCTTAACTGAACATACGTAGAAAAACAACAGTACAGATTTTGAACACAAAAAAAATAAACAATCAGTTCTAAGACACTGGTTCTCTTCTTCTGCCATCTTGCTGATGTTGTCTAACATTCTAATAATCTCCTCAGCGCAAGTATCCTACCATCTTCCAAGGCTGCCCATCCTTACAGCACTATTTCAAGCTGAAAGAATTACTTGGTTCCAGAAATGGTTTCATTTTCTTCAAGTCCTAAGCCTTAAAGCTAGTGGCTTTGTTACCCCTCTTATATTAATGAAAAGAGCTAAAGGCTTCCACCACAGCAGCAACTAACCTCTTTCCCACGTAGCTGATATCTTGTAGTTTCTAGCCAACATTCTTTTAGTCAGAGAAGGATACTTCACAGACATTAACCGACATAAATGTATCAAGTCTTCAAACAGTACTGGGCTTTAGAATGAGGGAAAAAAATAGTTACGTAAAAAATGTGATCATAATGGCGGGCAGATGCTTCTGGGACATGAATGCTGTAACATTACTGTATGTAAAACATGTAATAGCGTAACATTTCCAAACAGCTAACACAGATTTCAGATTAATATCCCACACACCAGTCCTGTTCCAAGTTGGCAGAGGTAATGCTTACCATCACTTATTTAAAAATTGACATTCTGCATCAGCTAGAAGTGGATCTCAAGTTGAAACACAGACCTTGGCCTGAAAGAAGCTTTAATGTAGAGTATGTGTTTACATTGGTACTATTGTCAATATTCAGAACTGGGGTTTTTGGTTGCTGTCGTTTGGTTTGTTTGTTTTACAAGTTGACAACCTAATACAAAGGGTCTAACAGTTTTGCACAGTAAGTGAATCTCTTAACAGTAGATCTATGTATGAATTTTCTTTGCAGTGTTAACAACTCTGGTTCTTAAGTTACCTGCTCAATGACTGGCTTATGCTAAAGCCATAACCACACAGCAGAAAGATTTTCCCTACGACCGAGGACTTACCAATAATGTTCTCTCTTGGGAGCAACTTCTGTCGTGTCCCAGAGCCGTGCATGTGATATCGCACGCTTTACCCCCTCCTCGTGGTCCTCGAGCCGGTGAGCCGGGTTGTCAATGATGCTCAGCACCGGTGGAGGTAAGCCTTCCACCAGCTTCGTCTTGGTGAGCCACTGCGCTTGCCGAACTCCTTGAAACAAAACCCAAGAAAATACGTATTACCGAGGCCGCCGGACAGGCTGGCAACAGGCTGACGGCGCAGTCAGTTTATGAGCCAGGGCAGGCTCTTCACCCCCTATGTTTTTTTATACACTATGTGAGGAGAACCCTTGGCTGGGGGTGCAGGGTAAGTGCTTGAACACACTGCACGGCCCGGGGCAGCGCTGGGTGACAGAGGGGGTGGCCCGGGCCGAGGAGGGCCAGGAGGCCCGAAGGAAGGGCCGCCGGGCCTGTACCTTCCAGCATGCGGACGCCCTGGTGGCAG